CCCACCCACACCCACACCCACACCCACACCCACCCACACCCACACCCTTTATTTTCTTCATGTTCGCAAATGAGAGGTATCACTCACCTAACCCCAGACCCACGTCCACACCCACATCCACATACACATCACGATCCATTCAGACCCAGTCCCAGGCCCACTTATACCGACACCAACACACTCCACCCATATTCGCCGCCCATATTCATACCCACACCGATACGCACGTCCACACACCCCACACTCACACCAACACCAGCCTCCATGCCTACAAGCCCACCCATACCCACACATCCACGTCTTATCCAGTAATATCAGAGAAAGCTGCTGTTATAAGTTTATTTATTATGAAGAGGTTTCCCTTAAACATAGCTAATGAATGTCTTCTTATTCGTTTGCATTGATCAGTCCATTTATCGCATTATAGTTGTGTAAAGCGTAGCCGATCTCAGCTGGTGGTGTTCCCGGACCCGTGCTGCTAGCTGGACTAGGTGGATCATCAGGATCGTATGTAGCCCCTACAGGATCAACATTAACAAGAATCCATCCTTATGCAAAAAAGTTGATGTGAAGAAACATATATTTTCTTAAGTTAGACTTACTCATATGTGTTCCGACATCATGAGGACAGGTTAGAAGTAGGTCATCGTTTTGGTTCATGGTAAGCCCTAAGATAAGGCAATTCCTGTGATATCGTTGATGACATCGATCGCAGTCTCTGATTGGTACACCATTGAACAGATTTTGTGAGCATCCTGCACATCTTCAAAAAAAATATATCAAATATCCTATTTCAATTATTATAATGAAGCCCTAGATCACTTACATCTGCAAAGGTTGTTGTGGTGGAGGCGATTTTAGTGAAAGGAGAAAACAGTATTTCATTTTAGATAAATTATCTGAAAAGTTCGATTCTCATTTACCGGTGCTTGGTGTTGCGCGTACATTTAATTTTCAATTGACAAATTTGTTTATTAGATGAAGTTCAGATGTTGGGCTTTTATGTGCTTCTAAAAGTGTGCAAAATGGAAGGACATTTTTTGATGGTTATCAATGATACTAAAATGGTTTATCTGTGTTTCATTTCTTTTTGTCTACAATATTGATCCAGATACAGAGAAAAAGGACCTTGTCAGTGACTAGGAGTTGTAAAAAGAGAGGAAACAACAGACTTATCTATTTCGCGAGTCGATGCATAGCTTACTGCCATTTCTTCTTTCCACCAAGGGCAGAAAAATTAGGCTAATAAGCAGATCAAAACCGATTAAGAATTGATTATAATCAAAAATAATCCAAAAAAACACAATTTTCATCGATTATCCGTATTATTTTCAATTATAACCGATCAGAAATTGTGTAAGAAATATGGATTTTAATCGATAAAAATCTCAGAAAATTGATTAAAGATTTTGCCATTCACTCTAAAGGAAAATCCATATTATTACACAATTTTTGATCGTCTGTAATAGAAAATAGTACGAGTAATCGATAAAAATTATGTCTTTTTCGGATTATTTTTGATTATAACTGATTAAAGATATGATTTTGATCAATTTTTGTCATCGATTTTAATCGGTGCTGTGTATTCCATTTACAATACAAAAGACCACCAAGAATGAAAAGATCAATCTGTTGCTTATCTGATATCGCTCCTGTTGTTGCCTTTTTACTGATGTTTTCGTCGGACATTTTGAGTTCTGTTTCGCTCGTATGTAGAAATGTAAAAGTTTGTTCGCAACAGAGATGGACGAGTCAGCAAAAAAGTCGCACCGTCACCGCCCCGTCCCGCACCGCCACCGCCCCGCCTGTTTAGCATTGAAACCGCCACCGCCCCGCCCCGTCCCGTCAAAAATATGTTTTAAAAAACTATTTATTGGCAAATTTTTCATTAAATTTTCATAATGGCTATTTCATTTCATGAGATGAAGAGGCATATTTTAAATGCATAAACATCGTTCCGAAATAGAAAAAAATAAATATATGAAAATGAAAGGCAATTATAATACAGTCACTCATTTTGTGGAACTCACGTATTTTCGAATAAAATAGTGATTGTAAGTTTTAAGTTCGAGGTTTGGCGGCTCTCTCCCTTCCCCCACTCCATTACAGGCACTGCACTCAGGGTTGCCAGATCTTCCGATATGGCAGAAAAAATTGCGATTTTTTGAAAGTTTCTCCAACGACTTTCCGACGTTCCGATTTTTCCAATTTTAACATATTTTTCCGATCGCCTTCAGATTTCCTAATTTTCCTCCGGTTTTCGAAGTCTTATTTGGGAATTCAAGTTCTTAGGACATTCTAGAACAGTTTAACCATGATACGACACCACACATATATAGCGATCTATTTCACCATAGTTATCGGGTAGTGAAGCGTCATGAACTCAACAAACCACACTGCAGTGATTTGAAAGCATATCCTCCAATAAAACTATGATGTTTTACAGACAATTAAGATCCAGCTTTCTATCACGATGAACTAACTTTCTCTGTTCGTTTACTATAGTGTTAATTAAGGATATTTTCGTTTCTGAGCTTGTTTTGTTTCATCACAGATATAATAAAACTAATCATAATCGTATGGGTACTAATTTAGCTGTTGCAGAATTGAAAATCGGAATGAATTCTGTTTATACTGGTGGACATTTTTATGAATATCTGTTACCTCAACCTGATATTTTGAAGAGTACTCGAGCTAATAAAAAAGTATGAACAAAAACGAACGTTATACAGAATAAGTCTTGGTTTTCTTTTGCATAAGTTTTGTGAAATGCATGTGTGTGTATGAATTTACAATACTGATTCTATTGTTTCGTCAAGTTGGTTATAGCATTTTTGATAAAAATAATGTGATCCTGTTCAAATTACTTATGTAGATTTCTCAATCATGAGTAAATTGTGTAATCGATATTTTCTTTAATTCTTTATGAAATATCATTTCCGATATTGCTTCGAAAAGATGAACAGAAGCAAGATAAAGGATATTAAAGCTATCGAAAATATATAAACTAGTTATTTAAGCATGGAAAAATACTTTCTGATTTTCTTCCGATTTCGAGAACAAAAATTCCGACTTTTTCCCGATTTTTAGAAAAAATTTTTCTGAGTTTTTAATTATCGATCTGGTAACCGTGACCGCCACCATTACAAATCTCAGCAGCGCATAAAATGCTCTAGTTTTTTGTATAATATATCAATGATTTCATACGTATTCGGAAAAAGGTATTTTACAATTTAACAATAAGGCATCAGGACAAAAAATAAAAAAAAAATATGTGAGTTCCACATTTTAGCTCCTCTGGAGCTGCGCTAACAAGTCTTTTTTTACTGATTAGTTTTGTGAAAAAATTTTTAAATTTTTAAAAGATGTCTCTAAAGGTCTGAGTATATTTAAAAAATCAAGGTTATACAAAGGCGGGGAAACCGCGAAATTTCGTCATGCACCGTCACCGCCCCGCCCCGTCAAGTTTTAGCACCGCCCCGCGGCGGGGCGGGACTGGCCGGGACGGGGCGGTTTTACACCGCGGCTCGTCCATCTCTGGTTCGCAATTTCTACGCTGCTGTTAACAAACACGAAATCATAAGGAGCACAAGAAGAAATATAACTTACAATCTCTTTCTTTTCTTTTTCTCCTATCGAACAAATGACGACGCAAGATAATGGAAAAAAAGATGCAGTATAAAGAAAAAAACCGTAAGAAAAGAAAGAAAACGAAAAACAAAAACGAATAGAGCATACAATCAATTGTTGAGAGAGTGAGAGATAACAATCTTCAGATCGAATTTTATTCAATACGTGATTGACATTATCTGTACATAAGAAAAAAGGGAATAAAAGTATACAACGAAGAAGTATTTTTCTTCCGAAGGAAGGGGAAAGTCTCGAGACTCTTCATTGGTTTCATTCTAACCTCTCTAATTATATTAAATTATAAAATAACTTTACACAATGTAAAAAAATAGGGGCATAATTAGATTAGAATCTATCACAAAAATTGCTTAAAATCATACATCTCTAATCAATATTTGATCGATTACAATCGAAAATAGCGCAGATGATCGGTGACAACTAGTTTTTTTTGATTATTGTTGATTATAATCGATTCGAAACTGATTAAGGATGTATGATTTCAAACACTTTTGTAACCGATTTAAATATGTATATTCATCTAGTTTCTTTACACATAGGATTCAAATTTATTTTATTGGTTCGTATAATCAGAGCTGTTACTATTATAAAAATTAAGAGTCAAGACCTCTTCCTTTCCTATAGGAGAAAAATGCTTCTATTTCGTTATGTAGTTTTCTTTTTTCTTTTCTTGTCGCACTTACAGATAGAGTTGACCACGTATTGGAGTATATTTCGTCTGAGGGTTGTTATCTCTCGTTCTCTCAGTAACTAATAGTATTCTCGATTTTCTTTTTTCTACGCTTTCTTCCTTTGCTTTGTAAAATTCTCACTAAAATATATTGCATACGTGATGTTTGGCCTTTCTCCATATTTTTCTTTTTTCTCTGTTTTTATTTCGCATGTAGTATTTCCATTTACCTCAATCATATCGCTCTTATTTTTGTCCTTATCATTCTTTCCTTTCATATTCTCCCCTTCTCTCTGATCGGCGAGTACATAGGTGTATGCTTTGTATGAAAATGATGCGACTCATAATATGAAGAGGAAGAATAGAGCGCGACTCCATCAGCGCTAGCTCTTTTTCTATTTAGAAGTCGTCATATGCTTGCATGCTCTTTTCTTGAAACAGTTGCTTTCTTTTACCGTATCATGAATCGTCATTTATTTGATAGGAGAAAAAGAAAAGAAACAAACTATAAATTATATTTTTTCATGTTTTGTTATTTATGATTTATTTTTTTTAAACAGCACTGTAGAAATTTCGAAGAAACTTCTTTAGTTCAACGTACAACAAAAATAGAACGGAATATGTCCGATGAAAAAAGCAGTACAAGTGTAACAACAACATCAACATCCAATAAACAGCAAAATGATCTTTTCAGTCGTGGTGATCGTTTCTACTGGAAATGTGAATATGAAAAAGCTAAACAACATTTTCAAACACTTTTACTACAACCATCAATGAGCCTTCTTGATTCAGCTCGATGTTACAAGTCACTTGGTGCAGTCAACACTAAATTACAAAATTATGAAGAAGCATTAAATAACTATCATAAACAGCTTGGTATATTAATTCAATTGAAAATACCAAACAAAACAGAAAGTGATATTGCCAAGTGTTTCATGTCTATGGGTATGGTTTGTCAGCTACAGCATGATTATGTTCAAGCTCTTGACTATCACAAACAAGCACTCGATTTTCTTTCTTCCATCATACCAATTCATAATCTTACATCAACAGTTTATAAAAATATGGCCAATTTATATACAAAAACAAAGGAATTCGACTCAGCACTTACGTACTTTGAAAAAGCACTTGAACTTGATGGTCAAAATGAAAAAGAAGATCATCTAGAGTTGGGACAAACCTATGCAGATATCGGAGCTATGTTCTATTCTAAAGAAGATTATAAACAAGCATTGGATTATTTTATGAAAGCACGTGAAATATGGCTAAAATCTCTAAAACCAAAACATATCTATATTCAATCATTAGAAAAGACAATTGGTACTGTTCAATCAAAGTTAGGTATGTACATGTCAAGAAACATAGTGTTTGCGAATTAGAAGTGAGACATGTAGCAAGTGAAGGAGTTCATTTACATGCCGTTATGATATATATTTGAAAGGTCAAGAGAAGGTTCCCTAGACATTAGGACGAATCTCAAGGCATTTTCTACAGCACAGGGCTACATACACAAGACTTAAAACAACTAACGCTTTTTCGAACTAATTGAAAAACCATGGAAAACTATCCCAAGAAACACGAACTTCCATCTACGAAAATTAATGAAAAAAGCAAAAATAGAATAATTGAAACAAACAAAAGAAAAGAATATGAAGAGACGAGACCTGCCCGAATTCCATGAATTCCGGACTCTTGAGGAATTCTTGAATGCAAAAATTTTTTAACACGTACAAGCACTAAGATTCCAAAGAATTCCAGGATCCCAAGGAATTCAAGGGTCCCAGGGATTCCAAGGATCCCAAGGAATTCAAATATAATATATGAGTAAATTAACGACTTAATATTGAAATATAAAACCTTTTATTTTAACAGCAGCGAACATTTTTTGTAATTGACAATATCAGCCAAGAAAGACTATCGAAAATGAGAGAATTTACTTTTGCAGAAAAACTGCAAAAGTAAATTCTGTATAGACTATCTTTATGATCGAATTCACTGACATTGTGAATTACATTGGCACTATTACATAGTGATATATATATTCCACAACCATTGAATGTTTTTCGTTCTTCTTATAGTATATATATAGGCTGTTTATAACTGTAGCAAACTATTGCTTCTACTATACGATGACATCATTATACATTCTTTTTTCTTTTTATCTTGCATCTATACGAGATAGATCGAAAGTAATCCTTTACTTAGTATCGGAATGCGTCCATATATGCTGCCATAGTTTTTTTTGAAATATAATATATAAGTAAATGAACGACTAAATATTGAAATATGAAACCGTTTATTTTAATAGCAGCGAAAAATCTTTTTGTAATTGACTATGTCAGCCAAGAAAGACTACCGAAAATGACAAAATTCTCTTCTGCAAGCTATTCTGGATCTGTCTCGTATAGATGGACGATAAAAGAAAAGCATATATAATGATGTCATCGTATAGTAAAAACAATAGTTCGCTGGTTATAAACAACCTATATGTACTAGGTTGGAAATAATATTTTGCCAGGGGGATATCACTATAATTTCAAATAGAAGATATAATGAATTTTATATCAAATGAAAGCTCGTCAAAAACGGGATTTATTGATACTAAATAGTAAGGATTATGAAGACTTTTTAACATCGAACTTAAGAAAGTTTCAGAAATTTTATGCTTTTTTGCAGTGTGAAAGTAAAGTATCAGTAATTGAAAAATGGATTAAAATGTTTTCCTTGGATATTTTTACACGATTCGATAGAGATTGTTGAGCTATACAAAACTGTATATATTAAAAATTTTTGAAACAGAGTTGTTGGATTAAAATTCACTGAAAATTGTATAAAGAGTGTACCAAAAAATCCACGTTTTTTACACTTTTTATAGAAAAAATAGTAGCCTTTTTTTACACTAAATTCAGCTGTTTTCCATTAGTATCCTTATGTAAAATGTTTGAAAATATACTGATTCGATGCAGCGTGAAAAACTGCATCGAATGAATATATTTCGAAACACTTGAGGAAGTAAAAATAATCAAAATAAATGCGGAAACTTCGGATTTAAATCCGAGAGTTATGTGTACTTCAAAAAGTGAATCATACAAATCAGTCATCCTAGAATGTCTGAACATCAAAACTATACTGCGGAACCTACCATTTAAAACGTTGATTTTCATTGCGCGTTGCCAAACCAATAGGACTTAGGACCGAATACAGCTCAAGTTTGAACTCTTTCCCTTGATTTAACCTAAGAAAGTCGTTTTTCCTATAGCTTCATTACTATTGGTCACTGCACAACTAATAGTATTTCGATGGAAGTGCAGTACACATTCGAGTTCTCCATCTCTGAAAACCTCGGAGTATCATCATTGTGATGGGAAGATAGAGCTCTCTTTGTGGATCAATTAGATCGTGGACCAAAATCTAAGCTATTTCTCTTCAATTATCCTTGTGATAGGTAAGTCAACCTTCATTTTTCTTTATGTTTTATATACCATTTTGTAGGTCTAGAAATTCTCTATCGAATGATATATAATAGTTGGAGTTTCGATTGACTATGATAGGAAAAGTCTTTTATGAAAGCCGCGATGGGTCCATTTTTCCACAGAAAGCTATAGGGAAAAGTGACTGTTTTTGCAATAACTCAGGAACGGCTCGGCCGATCCTTCTTATCTTCGAACTTGATTGAGATATTGTCAAGACTAAGCTGTGTAGAAAGTTTCATCGCAATCTGACTCTGCTGTCAAAAGTTATCATGTAAACAAGCCAACCGGACGGACGGAGACAGTGACTATTCTAGAGTGTACTCACTTTTTGAGTACACAAAACTATGAGTCGGTTCAAAACTAATATCAGATTCAGACTCAGCGTTAAAAACTGAGTCGATTTATGTATTTTGTGAATAATTATGAGCAAAAAATTTTTTTTCGAAAAATCCCCGTACCCCCCCCCCCCTCAGGAATGGTCTGGTCAAAAATCACAATTTTTTCGATAACTTACACATTTCTTGACGGATCCTTCTCATCTTCGAACTCGACCGAGATATTTTCAAGACTGAACTGTGTAGAAAATTTCATCGTAATCTGACTCTCCTTTCGAAAGTTATCGTGTAAACGGCCGGACATACTGACCGATTTTAGAGTGTACTCACTTTTTGAGTACACAAAAATAGTTCACATTTGATTGATTGTGAAAGCGAATAGGTCATTTAACATGATTAAATTCTTGAAGTATATAAGGCTATAGTGCTTTAATAGTGTAACGTGACAGTGTGGGGACTGTACGAGAAATAGATGATCTAAACTGTAGTCTCAACTGAAAAAAATGTAAGATTGGTGACGAATTGTTGATGCATCAATTTTCAAATGGAACAAAGAAGTTGACTATTAGCGAAAGTCAATAGGTCTATCTTGTCTGTCCGATAAATAGGCCGAGTTCTCATCTCTAAAAGGAGATGCCATCGTAGAGCAGTGCAAGAAACGGAAGGATAGTGAATAATGATATACTATTCTATGAAAACGCGATTTGCGTGTGTGTCTAGGTAAGAAGCGTTGTCTCACTCACTACACGAACACTCTGAATCTCGCGACCCACCCTCATATCCTTTTGCAAACCGTCTCAAGTTTCACTGATTCTAATTTTCTAAATAGCCTGGGAGCATTCGATTCTGACTGAGCATCGAAAACCGAGTGGAAAATTATTATTTGACCATATCTAGAATTAATAAAAATAAAGAGGCTGCCAGATACAGAAGGTTTGAATGAATACCTCGTGAACAAAAATCTTTCTCTCTTCTCTTTGTATTCTATATAATATCTGTTGAATCCCCGATGAATGTTAATTATAAAAATAATCTAATTAATTTATTTCAGCACAGTATCGGACCAATCACTATTTGGTTAAATAAAAATGTCAGTCGTTCGGTGTCATTTACTAAAGTTGAAATAAATACACTGTTAAAACGCTCCTTGTGTTAGCTACATCTCTTTTTAAGGATAAAATACTTCTTTTCCTATTCAGGTGTATATGAGTGTAGAATAGAGCCCGTCGGGTCCAGAATTTTTGGACCCGGACCCGGACCCGGACCCTGGCCCACGATTTTGGACCCGGACCCGGACCCGATCATTTAAAATTTTTCTACCCGGATCCGGACCCGGACCCGTTTACAGGTTGCTGGACCCGGACCCGGACCCGGTCGCTTAAATTTTTTGGATCCAAACACAATGACAAGTCAGTTTAGACAGTATAGTCAAGAAGGGTTTTGTTGTTTTTTATCTATTTTCTAAATACATTTGATCTCTTCTTTGTATAAAACGAACAAAACTTTAAAAAAATTCAAAATAAATTGTATGGATCAAAGTTTTCTTCAGACCTGGATCCGGTTAAAGCAAAATTTTCAGACCCGGACCCGGACCCGGTCAAAATAAAATTTTTGGACCCGGACCCGGCCAAAGTAAAATTTTTGGACCCGGACCCGGACCCGTGCGGGTCCGGGTAGGGTCCGGGTCCGGGTCCTACCCGACGGGGTCTAGTGTAGAAAGCAGAAAAGGAATACAATACTTGATAATTTCCCAATGTAGATCACCTGAAAGTTCAAGTAGTTCAAAAGTCGAAAAGAAGTTCAAAAACTGAGCTACCTTTTCCGATCAATCTATATGTTGAAAGAACTTTAAACGTCCTATATTCCGGCTACACCTTGTAAATTCTATTAGGCATGCACCGAACTCGGGTACGTACCGGGATTCCGGCTTCGGTTTTCCTGGGCTCGGTCATTTCCGAGTTCGATTATTTCCGGGTTCGGTCATTCCCGGGTTTGGTCATTCCGGAGTTTCGGGCATTGAGAGAATTCTTGAGTCCTAAAGTTCTATTATTGGGAGGTAACGTTGGGTCCTCAAGCCCTACTATTTGAGGGTACTTTTCGACTCTCAAGGCCTACTATTAGGTAGGCACCTCTGGAATCCTCAGATCCTACTATTTTGCAGTACCCTCGGGTTCTAAAGTCCAGCTATTCGGTAGTACCCTTGAGTACTCAAGCCTTACTATTTTGGACTACGTTTGAGTCATCAAATCCTACAATTGGGGCCTCTTCAGGTAATTAAGTTTTACTATCCGCACCTACCATTCAGTATTCAAGAGCTACTACGGGCGGTACTTTTGCGTGCTGAACCCTATCGTCGGTCCGAACACAAATATCTTGTCCTCACAATTAGAGAGGATAGTCCTCCTGAAATCTAATTGGTCTATTTTTTGAGTTTCTATTTCTCAGTGTTGGGATGGGTAGAGACCCATACATATACCTTTCAACCGATAGAACATTCTCGATAACCTATGAATGGCTCGAACATTTCCACACCTTTCCTTACAATAAGAGAGAAAAGGTCTACTTTAATCC